AGGGTTTATATTTTTAAATCAGGGTCCCTGATTTCCAGCTTCAGCCGTTTCCAGCATCAGCCGCGACAATTATTAATTACATAATCGTTAATAAACTATTGCTAGAAAGTGTGAAAATTACCAAATTTTAAAAAGGATCGTCACATAGTGCCAATAGGAAAAGTGGTAAATGCACTGGAAGCTTCCAGTGACAATCGACAAATTTCATCCAGTCAGGTGCCTAAAATATTTTCGTTAGCCAATCAAATTTCAAGATTAGGTGTAACACAAAAAAATTATGGAATTTTTTAGCGAAACTTTTTAGTTGGTTAGGAATCTCGCGTAACGATAACGACAATGACGAAATGAAGAAATTAAACCTTTTCATTTCTTAAAAGATTCAAAAAAAAAATCGTGCGGCTATGCAACCAATCTGAAAATATCAATATTATTTACGTTAAAAGCCATGTTCATAACAATAAGATGTAAAAACACTTAGTTATGTGGAATGTGAAATTTGCCACAATCTTAGCCTCAAATAAACTTGAACGTGTGTAATTTTTTACAATGCAATTTCATCTATCAAAGGAAATATATTTCTACGTATGCTAAGACTTCGCAACAAAACATTTCCAAAATCACGAATGCCAAAAATTTGCAACAAATATTTTTCAAACAATTTATAAAAAACAAAATATTTTTCAAGAAGTTGTAATAAATATTTTTTAAGAATTTATAGCAAATATTTGTTTTTTTTTATATTATAGTTTTTATAAAAAAAACAAACTGAAATTTTGTAAAATGCAAATGGTCTCTTTCCAACCCGTTTATGACAAAATAAAAAGAAATAATTATAATTACATAGTTATAATAATTACGCTAATTATATAATTATCATTAAGAAAGAAGGGTAGGATATGAATTCGAATTACAAACTTCCAGCGTGTCATGTTGCACTTAGTCCGGATGGACAAAATGTTGTTACATTTAATACGGGTAAATTTTATGATTATTGAATATCATTTTGGTCGAACGTATAAAAAATAATTTAATATTTTTATTAGTGACTTTTGAGTTGAAAATATGTCACTTAAAAGATTTGAAAAATGTAAAAAAGATAAACTATTCAGGATTCAATACTGTGGATAATTTAAACCCTCGATTATGTTGGTCAATAGCGATTTCCAATTCAATTAATGCGGGCACGCATTCAGATATGTTAATTGGTGTCTCATGTTTCGATCGAACTGATACTCTAACTAAAAAATATTCAAAAAAAAGAAGAAGAAGAACTCGCCACACAACTAGAAGTATATCTTCCTCTTCCTTAACCTTAGAAGAAGGTTACATGAATGTCAGAATAAGCCCATATACATGGATACTTTCAACATATTATCAAGATAGGATAATAACTTCTGTGGATGATACTGGTGGTGTTATACGATTTCTTGCTGATGAAAGTTCAACTGATGTTGATGTGGTAATAGTTCATGTGCTTGGAATTTCCAAAACTACAATTGAAGGCAAATATTTAGTTGATAATTCTTATAAAACAAATGCACAAATTAAACCTGCAGAAGATTTCTTATTTCCAATGGTAATTGCCAGCGAGATTGGTTCCGCAGAAGGATCCAATCCAAATTTACAATTATATCATAGAAGTATTGAAAAAAATTATTTTATGGCAGAAAATTATAGATTTGATTTATTAGAGATGTATAGTCTAAAAACCGGTGAACATTACAAAACTTTTCATATTCGTGAAGAAGCAACAGAACAGCTGGCAGCTAATGGTAACTCAATTTTTGAAATTTCCAAGAATGATGTATTGTTAGCATTTTGCAGAGGAACAAACATTGTTTCAATATATTTGATGGAAAATACTTTGGAAATTTCAACAAAACTATTCTCTAATCTTTATAGAATAAATTCAATTGATTTTGTTCATAATGATGAAAAATTATTGTTAATCGGTGAAGAAGAAAAGGTTAAAGATGACGGTTCAACAGAATTAGTAGCTGTTATTTTGATTTGGGATCTTTATAGTGAATGCGATGATTCAGTTAAAATAATTAAAGATACTCAAAATATAATTCGAAAGTGTACAAACGTTTCTACGAAATTTGTTGATCATTATCATAGATTTTCTAGTTCCAATGGATTTATTGTTGGTGTGGATGAAGAAAACGGAGATGTGTTTTCGATTGTTGATCATCCAGATCTTGCAGATTATTTGAATCCTTCAGTACCGTCATCTGAACTAGTTACATTGGTGCTTCCATATCAAGAAGTTTCATCACCATTAGCTCAAATTTATCATTACATTTACACGCAGGATGGTAGATATTTTGATGCTAAGCAAGAACCAAAACAAGTTATTGTTATTAGTAACGCGGAACCTTGGGTTCGTTACAAACAACATTCTCGCATTTCGGCCTATCTTAATAATGATAAGAAACTACAAGTAATTATGGGATTAACCACAATTCAAGTGTGGCGAAAAAATGATTATTCTAAATACAAACGAAGACTTGAGTATATTTGGATTAGTCCTCATGGTGAAAAATTCGATGTTCAAAGATTGCTAATTGGTAATGGAGAATTTTTTGTTGAGTTGTTACTTCCTGAATCTAAACAAAAAATTGAAATTCATTGGCCACATAAATGTTCTACGTTGAGGGACGCGTGTGACGCACTTGAATATCTTAATGCTCAACGAGGCGAACCAATAACACCCAAGAAAAAAGTAATATATCGTGATTTGTTTCGTCAAACAAAAAATATATTAAAAAGAATCATAAAGGCAT